AAGAGTGTGAATGTGAAAGTGAGATTTGGCAGACCTTACCAGGTTGACAAATTTAGGCCTTTCTTTTTCTTGTCTCTTTCTGTCCCAGGGTGCTGGGATTTCACTTCGCAGCTCAGCTCAATCCCAGGTTGTCCTTACCTGGGCAGCAGGAGGAAGACTGGCGGGTCCCTGTGGGGGTTTTGAGGAGGGTGAGCAGAGACATGTAGTGGCAGCCACAGGTGGAGCATCCCCAGAAAGGCCCTGACCGTGGCTGCTTGTTCCACAGCCAGCGTGGGAGGAAGGGAGGAGGACCGAGAGGGCCTGGGGGTGAAATAGGCTCACCTGGCCTGGCACGCCTCCCGACCCTGCCCCACCTGCTTCCAGTGAGTCCTCACGTCAGGTGTAGAAAGGTCAGTGAGGGAGACGCGGGTCTGGTGCCTGGTGGGATGGGACTCTTCCCAGGCCTGCCTGATGGTGGCGTTTCCCCTGGGTTTTCGACCCTGCACTTAGAGTCCACACCCCCTTCAGGCTGCATCCTTGGTCCCTGTGCTTGAGAGTTGCTGGACCACCCTGAGCACTGGATGGAGTTGACCTTGTTCCCACCTCACCCCAGCAGAGGGAGCCCAGGGCTGGCTTCTTCAGAGAACCCAGTTGCAGTGCTGGTCCAGTGAGCAGCTCGAGGGTCCCATGACGGCCCTGGCCACAGTGGAGCTCTTTGTCGTGATCGTTCTGCCTACTCACTTCTCAGATGTCCTGTCTGCTAAGTCACGGGGCTGCAGGCTGGCCCCAGTGTGCACTGAAGCCCACTCCCCTGCGGGGCGCTGCACATACAGTGATAGGGGCAGGACTGCAGACTGGCTATGAGCTCTGCGAGTGCCGGGTCTCCCCTCACAGCTGTGTGTGCACCTTTAGCCAGATTACCTGGCCTCTGAGTCTGTTTCCTCACTCCGGTCATTAATTAGATCCCCTGCCAGGTTGCCTATGTGAGTCAGGTAAAATGCTTAGCATAGGTGAAATGCTTGGTAAATGACAGCTGTTTGTCATTGTCAGATTTAATTCTCACAGTAGCTCTACAAGGTGAAGAAACTGAGGCTCTGCAGAGTTAAGAGGCTGCCCCAAGGTCACAGGTAGTGCATGGAGAGTGATGATTCAAAGCCAGCCGGGCCTGTGTACCATGGTACTACACTACTGTCATTGCCCTGGTCCCCAAAGAGGGAGGAAACCCAAAAAGAAACACCACCCTGAAGCCAGGATTAGCTCTTTAAGGGCCTTCAGGTGTTGTCTAGCTCATCCCCCTATTTTACAGATGGAGAAACTGAGTTCAGGGACATATGTCCAATTATGGAAGTGCTGGGCCTAGACTTCAGACTCGCAGCCTAGGGGCCTTTGCTCAAGGCTGCTTTGGCCCCATGGAGACACCATGGTGTGTGGTTTTATTTATTTATCAACTAAAACAGGGATACTTTTTAAAAATTTCAATTTAATCACAGTATGACGCTAATTCCTTAATATCAATTATCTAGTCAGAGTTCAGATTTCCCTGATTTTCTCATAAGTGTTCTTTGTTCTTACAGTTTGGGTTTTGAATCTGGATCTTTTTAAGATCCATGTGTTGCAGTTGGATGAAGCTTCTTGCAGGTGTCTTTCCATCTGAATGTCCTGCCATCTTTTATTTGTTGAGGAAAGTAGGTTGTTTGCTCTGTAGGTTCCCCCAGGCTGCATTTTGATGATTGCATCCCTGCGGTACAATTGAACGTGTTACTCCCTCCCCCTGTATTTCCTGTAAATTGTAGGTAGAGTTAGAGACCTGATCAGATTCCATTTTTAGCGGGGGAGGTGGGTGTGCAGCACTGTGTCAGAGACGTTGCATGATTTTATCAGGAGGCACAGGCTGTCTCTATTTTTGAGATGTTAGCAACATTGATGACTGATGCCAGGATCTCTTAATTCATTAGGAAATTCATGTTTTTATTATAAACATTCAGAATTATATGAACCTTGCTGAATTTTCCTCAAGAAATTGTTTTCCAGAATGATCTCCATTAGGCCACTTTAATTCATTAATCAGTTTTTCATTAAGGCATTGAATTATTTTAAATTATTTTCCATTTCCACTTTATGAAGATTTTAAAAATCTCTTCTTTTAAAACTTTATAACAAAGACTTGAATAACTGAATAGTTTTTTGAATAGTCATATTTTTGTGAGTATATAGCCTTTTCTTTAATGGCCATTATTTTTACCAAATTCAGTTGTCCTGAGCCACATATTGCAGATGGAAATTTTGTCGAGAAGATTTGATTCTTCCATCAGGTTTCATCAATTTAAAATCCTAATCTTGTGCATTTTTAGCTGTTCTGTTTCATTTTGGCTGATTCTGTATATTAGTAACAGTCACTAAACATTGGCTAAAAGACTGACAATTATTCATTTTCTAGCCGGTTCTCTGTGTGAAGCAGCGAAGGGGACAGAGACCCTTGGTGGTCATGGTGGTGCAGGGAGACACTGTCAGGAGAGAGAGCAGGGCAGAGCCAGAAGCTACCACCCTCATGGTGCTAAGTTCTTGGAGGCCTGCTGGCTCAGAGCAGCAGTTTCCCCCTGAGTCACTCCTGACTGCTGTCCCTGGAAGGCGAAGGGGAACTCCCTTTGGTGAAGGGAAAGAATGGGCCTCATTTACCTTTGTGATCAAATTACTCCATTCTCTCCCCATCTCTTCTCTGATTGTCACGTTTAATTACATGTTTAACCATTGTGAGTAGGTGGCTGTGGCATCACCGTGTCTCTCTGCTTACAGCACTAGGTCACCTTGTCTCCAGTCTATGTAATATATCTTTTTCTGGGAATTTTAAAGGGGACCTATTTCTGTGATAGCATGAGATTTGGTAAAAAGTGAGATAAGCACAATATCAAACTTCACACTGGATCTCTCGGGTAGAAGGGATCTGTTTTGCTCCTATGAAATTTATGATTATTCCTATTGTGTCACAGGGCTTTGCTCCCCTGAGGAAAAGGCTCTGGTCACCATGTAACTCTTGAAGGGATAGGTTTCTTAAAAAATTGATGGTTAAGAGTATTACTGTCTTTGATGGAATAGAGTAAATCCTGGCTCCAGCACTTAATAGCAGTGTGATCTTGGACAAGCCATATCTTTTAAAGCCTTGATCTTCTCCTCTATAGAATGGAAATGATGATACTCCCTACGTTGTAGGGTTATGAGTATCTGATGACCTCAGGCATATAAAGGGTCTGGCTTTGATCATCAGTGAGAGGGGGCGTTACCACCGCCAAATGCCCATGTCTGCATGGAAGCAATGGGTTGGCCGGCATTCTCACTGCCGTCTTTTTCCTCTTCCAGTGACTTGCTGTCTCCTGACTCAGTCCTGAGCTGTTTGTATCCTGGGGATCATGGAAAGAAAACTCCAAATCCAGCCAATCAGTATCAGTTTGATAAAGTTGGGTGAGTCAGCAGCATTTCCTCCTCTCCCAGCCTCTCTGCTTCTGAGTTTCTCTTGTGGCTCAAACCCAAAGCTGGAGACCTGTTAGGGCCAGAGGCCTCCCACGGGGCAGGGGAGGTGGCTGGGCAGGAGGGAGTGCTCTGTCCAGAGAAGGGAACACATGCCTTTTCCTGCTTATGAGGCCATGGAGGGTGGGAAAGGGTGGAAGGATCAAAACTCTGGGAACGTGATAATAGATATATTTAACATTTTAATTCTCTGAGGATTAAAATTTTAAAAATATTTTATAAATTGGTGGACTGATGAAGAGATCAAGTATACTTCCTTTTTATTGAGATTTGCTAATGAGTTGAAGACTGCCAAGGGAAAAAGAGAAAAGTGACTAGGAGAGATGAAATTCACAGTAGGGAACTGATGAAGTTAAGAAGCTTTGCTGGCAGCCTGGCCGTGGGTGCAACTGAGCCTGTGGGACCGTTCTGTTTTGGGGGGATGAGAAGGTGGGAGGAGGGATATATCCGGGGACCACTGCAGAAATGACTTATAGAATCATTTCATTCTGTGTTCTTTTCTGCAGCATCCTGACTTTGAGGGACTACGTACTTGACTTAGGGCATCCCTATTTGTGGGTGCAGAAGCTGGGTGGCCTCCACTTCCCCAAAGAGCAGCCCCAGGTGTGTCTACTGATCCGGTCCCTTCGGCTGAGGACCTCTGTTCCTCTTCTCCCATACAGACTCCAGAAGGGCTTTGGGACTTTGAACTAGCAGAATGCTATCCTTCTGGGCTATGATCTATCTTCCCTCCACTCGGGATACTAAAATGTCCAAGGCCTACAAGTGTTTAGGTACCTTTTGCCTTTGCCATGAGCCTGTTAGCCCTCTAGGTCAAAGTAACTTGGATCCTTGCCCTGCGTGCAGTGCAGCTCCAGGCGCTGCTACCCCTTGGTCTTATGTACGAAGGTGCCAGAAATGAACCCTAGGGGACCTCTTAAGATCTCAGCACCTTGTATCATTCCTGTTGGGACTCAGCCTCTGGCCTGTCACAGCAGGGAAACCCTGCTGTCCCCAGAAGGCATCTCAGGACGTGGGTAGTCCAGGTTGCCACAGGCAGGCAGGTCCTAGGAGAGAGGGGTGCCTGGAGGAAGGGATGGGGAGCTACTAACATGTGTGCCACTCGCTGTCCTCCACAGCACACTGTGATCGCTGACCACTCTCTGAGCGCCAGCCACATGGAGACCACCATGAAACTGCTGAAGACCAGGGTGCAGTCCCGCTTGGCCCTCCACAAGCAGTTTGCCTCCCTGGGTAAGCTGGTGCTAGTTAGGGCTGTGGCCTGAGAACCACTCAGACAACACAGGGACAAAGACAACAGAGCCCTGCACTCAGATTTCTTGAATCCTGATGACAAATCAAAGCGGGCTGGCTTTCTGGCTCTTGTTGAGCAGAGGTGTTAGCTGGGCCACTGGGGAGAGCTGTAGGCCACCAAGCAGAGGTCTGAGCTCTCCTCAGGGCCACCAGGGCTGTCTCAGCCCAAAGCCTTTTGGGGGCCCAGGTTAGCAGATTGGTCAGGAGCATCATGCTAGGTCAGTGCACGTCAGACTTTGATGTGCATTTTTTTTTTAAATTAATTTATTTATTTATTTTTGTCTGTGTTGGGTCTTCGTTGCTACGTGCAAGCTTTCTCGTTGTGGCAAGTGGAAGCTACTCTTCGTTGGGGTGCACGGACTTCTCATTGCAGTGGCTTCTCGTTGCAGAGCACAGGCTCTAGGCACGCGGGCTTCAGTAGTTGTGGCTCACGGACTCTAGAGCACAGGCTCAATAGTTGTGGCACACGGGCTTCGTTCCTCTGCGGCATGTGGGATCTTCCTAGACTAGGGTTCGAACCCGTGTCCTCTGCATTGGCAGCCAGATTCTTTTTTTATATATATAAATTTATTTTATTTTATTTATTTATTTGTTATTTTTTGCTGCATTGTGTCTTTGTTGCCACGCGCAGGCTTTCTCTAGTTGCAGCGAGCAGGGGCTACTCTTTTGTTGCGGTGTGCAGGCTTCTCATTGCGGTGCCTTCTCTTGTGGAGCACGGGCTCTAGGCATGCGGGCTTCAGTAGTTGTGGCTCGCAGGCTGTAGATCACAGGCTCAGTAGTTGTGGTGCACAGGCTTAGTTGCTCCGCGGCATGTGAGATCTTCCCAGACCAGGGCTCGAACCCGTGTCCCCTGCACTGGTAGGTGGATTCTCAACCACTGCACCACCAGGGAAGCCCCAGCAGGCAGATTCTTAAACACGGTGCCACCAGGGCAGTCCTGATGTGCGTTTTAATAGCCTAATTCATTCTAGGCAGCCAGAATAGTGCTGGGAGAAGAGCCATGAGCACAAGACAGAGCCCTGCTTTTGTGGAGCTTACGCTCAGCTTACTTGAATACAGCTGTCCAGGGATCCACGCCTCATCCCTCCCCTGACACCTGAGCTGACATCCTCCAGGGTGGGGCTGAGCCCCTGTGTTTTCCATAAGGTCCCAGGTGATTCTGATGAGCCCTTGACCAAGATGGTGGCCATGTGGGGCTTTTCATTTGTTCATTCTGTAAATACTTTTAACAGCCTACCGTGTACAAGGGACTTGTAAGGAGTGAGGGTTAAGATCTTTCTGATCTAAAAGAGCCACTGTCAGGAAAGGCTTTGAGTTCCCAGGACCCGTCTGGAGGCCTCACGTGAACTCTGTTTTCTCCAGGGCAGCACTACTTGCTCCCCATCAGCATTGCTTAGTTTGTTTTGTCCCAGGGTTGGGTGATTGTCATCCTGGACAGCGTTTACCATGTTAGCAGGAATTCACCCTGGAGCGGTCCTCCTGCTCTTTTCCCTTAGAGGAACCAACACAGAACACTTCAGTCCTTTCTCCATCAAGGTCAGCTCTGAGAACAGCCCTCTTGGCTATTTGGTCTAATTAACAGTCACTGCTGCAGAGACACCATACATCTCTGTTTCTGGCTGCAGGGTTTTTTTTTGTTTGGCAGGCCATCATTTGCATTAAGGATAAAGTGCTGTGAATGCTGGTGCTGGGTCCGGCCTCAAGCACAAGCACTGGGTAAAGGTCAGGTTGGTGTGCATTCGTTTCTGGCACGTGTTGACCTGGGCACCTGAGTACCAAGTGTACCTGGACAGCTGGCAGGGCCATGTGAGCCCTACAGAAGATGCTAGTTACCCAGCTGCGACAGCTGATTTCTACCTGTGACACCACCTGTCCTGCTCTCTTTTAGAACACGGCATTGTGCCAGTTACCAGTGACTGCCAGTACCTCTTCCCTGCAAAGGTTGTCTCTCGCCTGGTGAAGTGGGTGACGATTGCCCATGAGGATTATACGGTAGGTGGAGGGGTGACAGGCCACTGTTGCTGTACTGGGGACTGCAGGCCCACGTCACCGTTCAGCTCCTGCTCCTCCACCAGAAGGGCAGGAGATTTGACTAGAGGAGCCAGCAATTCACTCCTTGTCCTTGGTGACTTCTAGGAGCTGCATTTTACCAAAGACATCATGGAGGCGGGACTGGCTGGGGACACCAATCTCTACTATATGGCACTCGTGGAAAGGGGCACAGGTAATTGCTCTGCTGATCACAGTTGCTCTAGGCGAGGGGAGCTGCTGAGAATAAAACATTCCTGGGAGTTGCCCAAAGGAAGCAAAAGATCCTGGAATCCTGCAGTGGGGACTTAGCAAATAGTCATAGTTGTGAGAGGCAGCATTCAGCCAGGACTTGTTCTGCAACAGTCGTGTCTGTGATTTATCAGCTAATCCTCAGGACAGTCCTGGGGCTGGTGATATTCCTGCTTTGTAGATGAGGAAAGTAGGGCTTAGTCACAAACCCAGTCTGACCTCTGAGCCTAAGCTCTTAGCCCCTTTGTTTCATTGCATTTTAGAATCAGATGCTTGCTCATCCCCCTCTTCAGGGAAGGGCTGTCACTCTCAGGATGTGAAGTGCAGGACCCTCCTCCCTCTCTGCAGTCCCTGCACTCACTTGGGAGGCATCGAGAGCTGTGATTCCTCACAGCTGTCCTGGCATCTGATCGGCCAGGGTTTCCTGCTGGAGCCACCCCGATGCTGCCTGTGGTGCTGTCATCCAGCCCCAGCCTTGGCAGGCCTGGCACAGCCTGCAGGATCCCACCGCAGGGGCTCAGTGCTGAGGCCACTGGGTGGAGGAAGTTGTCTGTAGTTCCAAGACAGTACGAGACATGTCAGGAAAGCTTGCACTCTTTGATGTTCAAGTTTCTCTATTTCTTCCCTTCTCCTTTTCTTTTCTTTGCATGTTTTTAGAAATATTCTGAGGAAATTAAATAATTTCAGATACAGTTGAGGCTCCTTGATCCCACTTCATTCTCACCCTGATGATAGGTGACTGCTATTTGGAATTGTGCATTTGCTTTCCATCCTGCTCCCCTTGTAAAAAATACTTTAACCTCATCCCTAAACAACAGAGTGCTATTTTGAAAGGGCACAAAATATGCGTCCAGTAAATTTACAAAGCGCCAAGGGTGGGAGGTCATTGGAGGACATCATTTCTGCTTCCTGGTTGAGCGGAAGAAAGCTTGGAAAGATAAGTATTCTAGATTCGTACATGGAATGAATGTGATCATTTAAGTTTTCATTAGATGCATTATAGAATTTGAAAAATTAAGAGTGAAATTTAAATGAATAAGTGGACAACAGTTACATGGTATGGGTTAAAAACAAAAAATTAGTGAACAGAGATAAACCCCGAAATATGTGCAAACTGTTACGGCAGAAACAACAGGAAAGTGTCACTTTTTAATAAATGTCGTTGCGACTGTCAGGGAAGAATTGTTTTAACCTACACTCTCTAGTTCTCTTATTTATTTGAATTACTGGTGGGTCAGAGAGTTCCTTTTTCCTCCATAAATAATGAAAAGGAGTGGTTAAATGCCTAGCCCATTGATGGAGAGGATAAATGTCATCCTATTGAAAAAGACAAAGGCTATCACCAGAGAAAAAATGAAAAAGTTAAAAAATGCAAATATTTCATTTAATGATTATGAACACAGCTTTGGCATCAGGTAGTTCTGATTAAACTCAGCATTGCTGCTTTGCAACTGCTTGATGATCTTAAGGAAGTTTCTGTCAGAGCCTCAGTTTTTTTATACGTAAAATGGGATGATAATAATGGTACCCAACTCAGAATCGTTATTAGGATGAAAGAAAATGTGTGCAAAGGGCTTAGCACAGTGCTTGGAAAACAGTAGGTAGTCATTAAATGTTAGCTATGAAAAAGCTGCACATAGAATAGATAAAAATAAAGAACAGAATAGAAAAAATATATTTGACTAATGTAACAGCTAATACCCAATATTGTTGAAAAGGAAAAACAGATAGGAAACCTTCACATGGGAAAATCCTTAACTTGCTGGCAAATAAACGCCAATGAAAACAAACTTCTGTCAAAGGAGTAAATAGAACTCTTGGGCAAACTCATTGTGGACCAGACTCTGGGGAGTCCACACAGCTCTGTGTCCTTGGAGGGACCAGAGTCACAGGACCTCACTTTCTGCAACCTGGCAGTTCCACTTGGGAGATTCTAGAACAAAAGTAAAAGTCAGTTAGTACCAGAATGTGCTTTGAGCACTTGGATTAATGTGAGACGCAGAGCTAGCCTCGGGTCCAGCGGGGAGCATGCCTCGGCTAACAAGCCAGGTCTCAGAAATGAGTTTTCCTCCTTTCCCATCCCCTCCCAGCTAAGCTCCAGGCTGCCGTGGTGCTGAACCCTGGCTACTCCTCCATCCCACCCATTTTCCAGCTCTGTCTGAACTGGAAAGGGGAGAAAACCAACAACAACGACGACAATATTCGGGTAAGGACCTGCTGGGGGTGGTGGGAGAAGCAGGGAGAGTCTCCTTGGGGAGGTGGGCAGTGGCAGAACCTGCCGCAGCTGAGGGCTTGGGCACTGGCACAATTCCCGGGGCAGAGGGGCCTGCCGGGATTTGTAGAGTTTGCTGGAGGGTGCATGACATAGAAGCAGAAAGAGCTCAGACCCATCCCAACCCCTTATCTAGCTTGGGGTCTGCAGTTTCACCCTATTTATGAAATAGGGGTAATATAAATACCTGCTGTGAAAGGTTGTTGTTTGGGCTTCTGTGGAAATGAGAATAAACTCAGATGCACAGAAAGTGCTGGAATGAGATGATGTCCGAGATCATTGCACCTGTTAATTATTGTTATACCTGTGGATTTGATTCAATAGTCGTGGAGCACGTTTTTAACCCTAACACCTGATTTGGATCTCATCTTGAGATTCATCTTCTACACATTTTCCTCTCTGTCTGTGGATGTGCAAGGCAGGGAAAGTTCTGAGTCAGGATCAGGAAGACCCCATTGTCTTGAGGAGAGGGTGCCTCAGGACAAGTCGGTCCTGCTTGATCTGCAGAGGCCCAGTTCCTGCGGAGCCCCAGGTGCAGTTCTTGTGAAACCATCAGACCCAGCTGGCCTGAAAGTGGTGCTGAGTTTCTGGTTTTCCCACCCATAGGCCATGGAGAGTGAGGTCAATGTGTGCTACAAGGAGCTGTGTGGCCCCCGGCCCGGCCACCAGCTCTTGACGAACCAGCTGCAGCGCCTGTGCGTGCTGCTGGATGTCTACCTGGAGACGGAGAGCCACGATGACAGCGTGGAGGGGCCCAAGGAATTTCCCCAGGAGAAAATGTGTCTGCGGCTTTTCAGGTGAGGGGAGGGGAGGGGAGGGGCGGGGGTGCCGGGCCCAGGGACCTCCAGCCCTGCCTCTCACAGGGACCTGGGGCAGAGGTGAGCCTGGCATGGAAGGCATGCACGTTTCCCAGTGCACTAGTCTCCATTCACTGTGGAAATTAAAATCCTGCTGCCAGATTTCCTGGGGAGAGCTTGCTCCCTTGTTCCTAAAACTTTCCCTGTGGCCCCCATCCTACCAGCCTGGTCCAGTTGTTTATCATGAACACCCCCCAAAGGTGGATCACACGCCAAGTGAGCAAGAGGATTTGACTGAACTTTCCTTTCTCTACTTTCTGTGGAAAACAATAGGTTTGCTTTTCATCGTCCAAATGAACTTTTTAAACTCTATGCATCCCACCAGTTCCTAGAGTCTGCTGTACTTCCTAAGGTACTCAAACATCTCGGGGGATTGCAGCTATAGGCAGTCAGGCATCACAGAAGGAACCAGATTTGAAGTAACACAAACACAAGTGCAGATCTCTGCTTTCCTGCTCACCAGCTGTGTGACTTTGGAAGAGTCACTTCAGCTCAGCTCTGAACCTTTCCCAAAGGTGTTAACCTTCTAACTCATGATGAAGTAGAGAGAGTTCATGTAAAGCTTCCAGAATGGATCCTGGCACAGGTGGAGGCTCAGAAAATGCCAGCAGGTCCTGACAGCTTGGTATTTAGCGTGTCTACATGCACAGCACTGCTAGCTGCTTTTCCTTTCGCCTTGATGTTGGGTCCTTTCTTTCCCTTTCATCCCTTAACTAGCGTTCTTAGAGCCAGTTTCAGAACTCTAGAGTCCACACTGCTCAGGCATCCCTTCCCTTTTGGGCAAGGGGTTGGGGAGGAATGGTGTCTGTGAAGGGCTAGTATCTGTATCTAATCAGGACATCCCTTTGTTCTCTGTCAGTCTAAAAGTTGCCTTACCTGCCCCTTACCTTCTCACACAGCCAGCTTCAGCTCCTGGAAGCTGACCCAGCATCCTCCCACCTCCGTCTGGCACCTCCACCTGGCCTGGTTTGTCATGCTAGCTGATAATAACCAGCTGCAGCCCCGGAGTGGCTTCTGACAGGCAGAGCTGGCGGCTAGATGTTGGTGCCTTCTAGGACTTGCTTTCCTTGGTTTGTCTGCGTGAGAGCTCAGCTCTTACCCCCGCTCCCAGCCTGCTGTAGCACATTTCCAGGGTGGGAGTTCTCACACGGCCAGTGTTTATATTCTGTTATCTGATGGTTCCCGAAGGACCCATTTTCTGAAGTGGTTGGTATGTCTCCCAGGCTGAGCTCCTCTGGCAGGACATTCTGGAAAGGTGCTCCTTTGGCTACTCAGATCCAGTTAATTCCATGACTGATGAGATGTGGGATGTGATGGGCTGGAATTCAGCTGACCACTGGGATCAGGCCAAGGGGCTGGGCTGCAAAGGGCTGGCCTGGGCCGCAGGAAACGCAAGGTCTGGCTCTGCCCGTGGCTGGGTACCTTCAGGCTATGGGGTCTCCATCAGCTGTATGCCTAGACTTACCTGGATGACTGCACCCTTCTGATGTTGGGGAGGTACATGACGTCATGGCTAGGAGCAAAGGCTTTGGGGGACTTGCCCTGTTGGTCCAGTGGTTAAGAGTCCGTGCTTCCAACGCAGGGGGCTTGGGTTCGATCCCTGGTCAGGGAACTAAGATACCACATGCAGTGCGGCACGGTCGAAAAAAAAAAAGCAAAGCCTTTGGGGCCAGAAAGGCCTAGGTTCAAATTGCAGCTCCAGCCTATGTGATTGGGGTCTGTGCTTAACCCCTCTGAGATTCAGATTCCTCATCCCTAAAATGGCATCCACTTCAGGTGTTGTTGGGAGGATGAAATTAAACCAGGCAGAGCATGTAAAGTGCTAAGCACAGTGCAGGCAGAGTAAGCCCTCCCTTAAGTAAGTGCACACCCCTACACAAACACACCCCTACACACACACACACACACCTCACACTGCCTCTCACCCTCCCTCAGACCAAGATCCAAGGTGTCACCTCCTGGTTACCATTGAATGTCAGTCATAGGCAGATAAACGAGAGGCCCTTTAGCTGGATGCCATTCACTGTGGAGTTGTATGGAAAAGAACCCTGTGTGAAGTTTTGCTTGGGGGGCTCAGGATTGGAGCTGAAGCACCTGAGCTTCCCAGGGTCCAGGGCTTGGCTGTGATTGTCAGCCTGCCTGTGGCCAGCAGGCTTTGGCATCAGACCTGGTTTTGAATTTGTGCTATGCTGCTTTCTGACCATATAATGTTGGGCAGACAGTTTACATCCCTAACCCTGTTTCTTCATCTTTAAAATCTATAAAATGATAGAAATAGCATCTAAGAAGTAGTGAGTATAAAGCACATGGCTCTTGGCAGGAACTTTGTACAGATTGTTTTCACACCCAGACTCCTACCTGCATGGGAATCTCCCTGCAAAGGAGGATTTTATGGTTTTTCTTTAACCATAGAAATAAAACATGTTTGTTGTTAAATATAACAAACAACAGTGAGCAGTTTGGTAAAAACACTAAAAAGTGAGGGTGCCCAAGCCCTGTCCCCCAAAGTGCACATCGTCAGTGAGGGCCCTTCCAGGTTTGTGTTCATGCCTTTGCAGGCACATAAAGACATTTTTTCAGAAGTGCGTCACACCTTTCATATTGTTCTGCAGTCTGCTTTTCTTACAACATTCCTTTTTTTTTCCGTAACAGCTAATAGTAGTCCCTATTAGTGTGGATTAATTGTAATTTATTTTATCAGCCCAAAGGGTATGGTATTAACACTATTCTTCCTTCTCCTGTTTCTCTAGGGGCCCCAGCAGGATGAAGCCATTTAAATATAACCATCCTCAAGGATTCTTCAGCCATCGCTGACCTCCCACTCAGCCTGTTGTTTCCCCCCAGACCCAACTGCTGCGCCTCTGCTTTCTGCTCTGGTGCACATGTGGCTTTTTTTTTTTTTACATCTTTATTGGAGTATAATTGCTTTACAATGGTGTGTTAGTTTCTGCTTTATAACAAAGTGAATCAGTTATACATATACATATGTTCCCATATCTCTTCCCTCTTGCGTCTCCCTCCCTCCCACCCTCCCTATCCCACCCCTCCAGGCAGTCACAAAGCACCGAGCCGATCTCCCTGTGCTATTATGCGGCTGCTTCCCACTAGCTATCTACCTACGTTTGGTAGGGTACAAAATTAATGCACAGAAATCTCTGGCATTCCTATACACTAATGATGAAAAATCTGAAAGTGAAATCAAGAAAACACTCCCATTTACCATTGCAACAAAAACAATAAAATATCTAGGAATAAACCTACCTGAGGAGACAAAAGACCTGTATGCAGAAAATTATCAGACACCGATGAAAGAAATTAAAGGTGATACAAATAGATGGAGAGATATACCATGTTCTTGGATTGGAAGAGTCAACATTGTGAAAATGACTCTACTACCCAAAGCAATCTACAGATTCAATGCAATCCCTATCAAACTACCACTGGCATTTTTCACAGAACTAGAACAAAAAATTTCACAATTTTTATGGAAACACAAAAGACCCCAAATAGCCAAAGCAATCTTGAGAACGAAAAACAGAGCTGGAGGAATCAGGCTTCCTGACTTCAGACTATACTACAAAGCTACAGTAATCAAGACAGTATGGTACTGGCACAAAAACAGAGAGATAGATCAATGGAACAGGATAGAAAGCCCAGAGATAAACCCACGCATATATGGTCACCTTATCTTTGATAAAGGGGCAAGAATGTACAGTGGAGAAAAGACAGTGTCTTCAATAAGTGGTGCTGGGAAAACTGGACAGGTACGTGTAAAGCATGTGGCTCTTGATAGTCTCCAAAAACAGGTTTTCTATTTCTAGCCTAATAAAGTGTCACCTGACCATGTGGCCTTTGTTTGTGTCTCCTTAGGGAAGAAGGGGTGGCTTTGCAGTCTGCATGGGCAGGTGGGAATGATGTGAAAGAGCATGTGTGGATAGGCTTTCCCTAGGTGGCCAAGCAAGGCAGAGTAAGAACAATTCACCTTGCTTTGGCAGGTCCTCATTATCTTGGTATTTGTTATGCTAAGTCCCTGCTGTTAGCAGGTGGCCAGGGAAGCCAAAGTCACATAGCACAAAAAGCAAAAGCTCTTTTTTCCCCCTTCCCCTCACTCTTCCCACTAGACCTTGTCACTGTCTCTGATGGCCAAATTCTCCTGATTGGTGGCTGTTATAAACATCTGACAATGCAATGGAAAGAGACAAATACATCCCAAAGAATAATTGTAAATCTTGCAGGATTTCATGAAGTTGATGAGAGTGATGTTGGAGAATCACATGCAGAGCTACTGTTCAGTGATGCTCTGGCAGAGTGAGACCAGGTGACATCTGAGGAGAGACTTCATGGTGATGACATGATAGGTACCTCAAAAAATAATGGTGTGACTCTCAAAGGATTAAGAGAAGTCCTGTGACCAAATGTAAAATAGCTAGTGGGAAGCAGCCGCATAGCACTGGGAGATCAACTCGGTGCTTTGTGACCACCTAGAGGGATGAGATAGGGAGGATGGGAGGGAGACGCAAGAGGGAGGAGATATGGGGATATATGTATATGTATAGCTGATTCACTTTGTTGTAAAGCAGAAACTAACAGCACTGTAAAGCAATTACACTCCAATAAAGATGTTAAAAAAAAAAAGTCCTGTGGAAATAGATAACAGCCTTTAAAATGTTTGAAAAATTATCTTCTTCATAGTTCTGCAAAAGTCAAACAAAAGGATAGCATAGAGTGTTCTTGGACAGTTTTGTCAGAAAAATTATACCCCATCCCCCACCAAAAAGTCAATCCTCAACTCTTAATTCATTTTAAGAAATAAGATATAAAGATGTGAAAATATTGAAAAATTATTACACAGTTACAAGTATAATCTAAAATTTGCTAATTACAAAATGAAATAAATTTTATTTTTCCAGCTCTGTTGAAATATAATTGACATATAACATGTGTAAGTTGAAGGTGTACAAAGGGATGATTTGGTAGATGATGTATTGTGAAATGATTACCACAACAACGTTAGTTAACACATCCATCACCTCACATAGATATGGTGGGGGATGGGTGTGGGGGTAAGAACTTTGAAGATCTATTCTCTTAGCAGCTTTTAATTTACATAAACTTTGTTTTCTGTGACAGTCCCAATCAAATGGATTTTTTTCCTCCCAAAACATGCTTTGAAGTTTGGTTCCCAATGTACATGTATTCACTCTAAATGGAATTTTAATGGTTACCCTTGGATAACGTGGACCTCTGGTATGAAATCCGTTTCTTCCTGTCCTCTCAGCCTACCACTGAGCATCCCTGTGGCAAGGATTTTCTGAGGCAGAAGTAAGAGACTCCTAGTCCTGCCAGGACCCTGCACTTTATAGGTGGAAGCCTGAGCCCAGTGAGGAAAGGAGAATGGCACCTCTGGGGGTTGTTAAATAACCACCACCACCTGTTCCTTTCCTTCCCCTCAGTCTGGATCATTCCTTTGAATTCTAGACCTAGATACTCTCCAGCCCTCAGGTCCTTGAACTTCATTGTGTGTGAGAGTCACCTACCCTGGGAGTAGGTTGGAAACACACATCCCCACTGTAATATTTGGACTCAGATAACCTAAGATGAGCCAGGGAGGTATATTTTTAATGAGCTCCCCAGGTGCATGTTGCCCTAGTCTCTTTTTGGAAGACGCTGTACTTTCCTCATTTTTCTTGGTGACTTCTCAGGTAATGCAGGAGGGCTGATTCTCTGAAAAGCTCCCCACTTCTGTCTCCTGCACCTTGGACAGCAACATGAACCTCTGGGAGCTTCTTTCTCTCCCATAGTGAGATTTCTTTGTCTTTTCCCTGACCTACTTGCCTGGGACTCTGTCTGCCAGCATCTCCTTGGTCTGGCCACTTTCAAGCCTAGCATCTCACAGCCTGTGCTGAATAAGATTGAAATGGAGCCTAAAAATAGTTCCTTTAATGGCCCCTGCATTGCAGCCTTCACTGTCTTCTTGGCTGGAAGGCGGCCAAACTGACTCAGCACACAAGCCCGTCTCTGAGAGCTGGGACAAGGTTGCAAAGACAGCTTGTGAGGGCTGGGAGGAGGTTCTGCTTCCTGGGCAGAGGATATCAGGGCCTGTCGCCCTCCAGAAGAGATTTTCCCTCTTGAAAGGAACAAGCTGAACAAAAGAATCCTTTGGCCTTAAGGAGTAAGGTTTTAAAACTAGTGAGAAGCCCAAGACAATCCAGCCCCTTTGAGGTACTGAACTGAGCCTTTTGTGTCACCAGTGGGCAGATTAGGGGGAAGGGGCCTGGCTTGGGAGGACCTCAAAGCTTCCTCTTCAGCCTTGGCCTTGGCCTTGACTGGGGCACATCCCAGATGGCAGCCCCCTTCTGTCATCCTCCCACACCTGGGACTCAGCCCAGGTTCCTTGCCTTTTTAAAGCTACTACCCATATTTTTGATTTCTCTGTGTCTCCTAGTCTCTCCCTTTTTCCAAGCTTGCCCTCCCCTAATTGTTTCCTCTGCAAATAAATCCAAAGACCCCTTTTATTTTAAGGGCATTCCTGATGATCACTCTGGGGAAACAAAACTAAAAGCCCTATCCATGGGATGGAGCAGAGCTGCCAGGCTTCCAAAGGAACTTTCTCCCTGTCTCTCTAGCCCCAACTCTGGCCTTTCCATGGTGTTCAGCAGCTTCTCTGTTGAGCTCAGATGTCAAGCATCGACTCTGGGTCAGGCCCTGTGCCAGTCATGATTTTACATTCACTGTCCTATTTAGTTACTGCAGGCTGCCAAGGGTACACATTCCCTTCATGTTTACAGATGAGGAAACTGAGACTCAGAGGGTTAAATGACTTGTCCGTTGCTCACAGGGTTCTTGAGCTGCACACCCAGGATGCGAGCCCAGCGAGGTCTGTCTGCCTCCAAGGCTTTCCTTTCCACAAGCGTAGCTGCAGGCTCAACGTAGCTTCAGGCTGGTGCTCCTTCTGGGCCATTTATTCATTTCAGCAACACAAGTACACCAAGAGTACTGTGGTGGTCAAGAGTTACAGCCTGGTGTCAGACCCACCAGCTGGGTCCTGTCCCACCCCTGAGCAGCTGTGTACCCTGGGCAGATTGCATGAATCACTCGAAGCCTCAGGGGTCCTCATCTGCAACTAGAAGTGACAGTCAACCTTCCTCCCAGGGTGGTTGTGGGAATTAAGAATCAACTCAGGACCGTGTCCAACACCAAGCACCGCTCAGTAAAGGGGAGCGATTCTTGTCTCTGCCTCCAGGTTTCCGCCTGGAGAAGAGGCCTCCTGAGTAAGGAAGGCCTTACCTTCCTGATGCCCTTTCCCCTGCTGGAGTGTTCCCAGGCTCTGGAAGCCTCGCTCTTTCTGGCCCTGTCCCTCCTTTTCGGCTGCATGTCCACCAGTCAGTGGCCAAGCTGGGCTCTGGACTCAGCTGGAGTCAGGCTCTCATTACCCGTCACACTAGGCCAACCGCAGCCCATTAGCCACACATCTGTTCCCTGCTGTCTGTGGGCCTGTGTCCTGGTCCCCACCAGAGGATCACCTCAACTTCCTGGGCTCTCACCACATCTTGTTCTAACTTGGCTTTCCCCCACCTCCGCAGATGACCTAAGGTGGGAAAGGAAACCCCAGCACTCCCCAGTGGGGCTGGTGGAGAAGGACCCTCAGAGTATTTGTGAAATGAGTGAATGGATGGGGGTCCCAAAATATTTCGAAGATGAACCCAGTCTAACAAGTTGACATGTAAAGTCCTACAGAAAGACCTAAAATCCAGTCACTCACCCATGTGCTGGGATGTAACAACAGCTTGAGTTAAAATATGTGACAGTTTGGGTGAGCAACTGGTTTAAAATGCCTGATGGGGCACCTGTCCTGGCAATGCAGAGTCGGTAGACCCTGAAATTATG